CGGGAATTCCTTAACGGCTAATCCCTGCTTCTTAACGCTAATCGGCTTTCTTACCTAAATGCCGGCTTTCTTAGCTCATGGTCCGTTTTTTTACTAGCTTATATGGCTCTTTATACTTATTCACGTTTCTTGCACGTATACCATTACTTCCTGTGTGTGCGTGTCACAGAGCGTGGTCACAGAGCGTCGTCACAGAGCGTGTCAGCCAGAGCGTGTCACAGGAGCCGTGTCACACGAGCGTCGTACAGATCAATGGTCAGCAGAGCGTGTCACAGCGCGTGTCACAGAGCGTGTCAACAAGTATCATTGTCAAAGAGCGTGTCCACAGAGCGTTCGACATAGGAGGCGTGTCACATGGAGCCTTACAACACTGTCTATGTGCACACTTGTACTCGTTGTCCAATCAGCACCGGTTCATTACTAATTATTCACTCGAGGTTGACTTCGCTGGCTTTCTCGCGTCCTGGCCCGCTCTCCCATCCCGCTCGTTCCTTATGTCAGGCAGGGGGCGCCGGCGATCATTAGTTCGCTCGTGGGCGCGCTGGCAGCGGGGAACGCCGGCCGACGCCGTTAGTTTGCTGTGCAGCGCTGGCAGGGGGCGGCCGCGAGCGTTAGTTGCTTGTCGTAACGAGGCGCCACGATGTAACGAGGCGCCACGACGTAACGAGGCGCCACGATGTAACGAGGCGCCACGATGTAACGAGGCGCCACGATGTAACGAGGTGCCACGATGTAACGAGGAGCCACGATGTAACGAGGCGCCACGATGTAACGAGGCGCCACGACGTAACGAGGCTCTTCAAGAAAGGTCGCGACGTGTTTATATAGCCGGTCAGCTACGACAACAGCACTCCTGTTCTCGTGTTTTTTCTTCCTGTCCGCTGGAATAAGAGACGGTTAAGTTCTCGTCTGAAGCATCGAGTTGTTTCTTGTGAGACGTCATCGTACGAAATTTGGCGTTGCCACGGTAACGTGCGTCGGCGCCGGAAATTGCATCCGTGGTGCGAAATCTGGTGCGCGGCGATCGCAGCGCCCCCTGTTGTCTGATTCGACACATTCGGTGACGTATGCGTATATGGTGCGATGTGTTAGGGATCTGCGAGTTTCCTAGTAGAAATACTAGTCAGTGTAATCCCACACAGTGTAGTATTTTATTATTGTTGTCTATGTGGTCTGGTAAACGTTCGCAGAAGGTGAATACACTAATTTATTCCTTAAAGCTCCAGGAAGAGCGTATGAGGTGATATCATATTGGACCCTACCGTGAACTAGCACCTAGTACGTCGTTAGGACATTCGTTTGTTAGTTTGGGGGGGATCTTATGATCCGGATCGCAAAGATCCTTGTGGTGAGACAGATGCGAAAGGTATCCAAGATGGCGGCATGTGACTCGGCCAATCGTGACTCGTTGCTACATAGAAGCCATCCTGTGATAGGTCACAGCGACAGTTGACCCGTCGGACGCGCATTCGAATTTGTTTGGAGACAGATCAGGATCAGGATCATGATCAAATGATTCAGATTGTATGGATCCGTTTCCAAAGATAGTTTCGGTTGAAGGTTTAGTTGGGATCAGTTTTTGTTAGGACACTGGGCATGATGCGTCCACCCGTTCACCTCATAATGTACTTAATTGCGTCGACGTCACCATCGTTAATTATTAATTAAGTGACTAGTCTAGTTAAAGTTAATTAGAGCGGACTAGTTTGTCACGTGACACATCGGTGTTGCTGATACAGCGCGAACAACTGACATCGTCCGATATCGTAGGTGCTACTGTGAGCACCGGTACTAGCATCATGGTTATAATAATTGTTATTATTAGTATCAGGAGTGAGATGTTAATCTGTTACTCGAGTAGATGTAACATTTATTATCGAACTCTAGTTATGATTATTATGTATAAAAAAATATATAAATATATATAATATGACTATATTTATATATTCTACGTCTCGTCTCCTCTCTCTGCTCTCTGCTGCCGCGTCTCTCTCCATCTATCTCTGCTACCTCTTCTGGGTCCTCTCTCTCCTCTCCTCTGCCCATGCTCTCTCTTCTCTGCCTGTCGCGTCTCTCGTCTCTCTTCTCTCTCTCGTCTCTCGTCGTCATCGGCGCGCGCGCGCGAGTGCTCGTCTACAATCGTCTCATCTCTCTGCTCTGCCTCTCTCAGTCGGTCGTGCATACGTCGTTCTCTCGTCGCTCGGTCGACTCGTCCATCTTCGGCACTCCGGCGCGCGTCGCGGGGGTGCAGATCCAGGGGATCGTCCGGTCAGACGGCAGAGCGAAAGAGAGGGGGGTGATCGGGTGCGGGTCTCCTCTCTGAGGTCGCGGATCGCGTCGAGGCGTCATCATCTCGACGCGTCTCTTCGTCTCTCTGTCTATGCTTCGTCTCGTCTCGTCGTCACTCGTCTCGGTCTCTGCTCTTCTGCTCTCTCTCGTCTCGGTGCTGTGCTCTTCTCTGCTCTCGTAGCCGAAACGTGCTGCGTCTCGCTCGTCTCTCCTCCGTCTCTCTCTCTCACTCTCGTTGTCTCTCTCTCTCTCAGAATCCTCGAGCTCTC